AAGGGTTGGGTTTTACAGAGGGATCCCCGGAATTCCAGAGGGGATTCCCACTCACCCTTCAAGTGTTGGGTTTTCCCGCTCATTCCCAGAATTCCAGAGGGGATTCCCACTCACCCTTGAAGGGCTGGGTTTTCCCGCTCATTCCCAGAATTCCCGAGGGGATTCCCTTGAACTCACCCTTGAAGGGATCCGGTTTCTGTTTGGTTCCCTCCTTGTCCGTCAGCTCCTGCCGCCGCTTCTCGATCTTCTTGTTCCTGTTGACGATGTATTCCTGCAGGGAAAGGGGGGGGTGGGAATTCCCAACTCCGGGAATGTGCTTTTCCCTCCCTGTCCCCCGTTATCGCCCCCGGAGCGAGAGGTGGGATGATCCCAGTTGGAATAAAACGGGAGCCTGGGCCCGTGGCACCGGCGGGTTCCTGGGGGGAGACCCCAAATCCTTGGGGGGAGACTCCAAATCCTTGGGAATGCACCTAAATCCTTGGGGAATGCCCCCAAATCCTTGAGGAATGTCCCTAAATCCTTAGGGAATGCCCCTAAATCCTTAGGGAATGCCCACAATTCCCAAAAGAAGGCTGGAATTCCCAAAAGAAGGCTGGAATTCCCAAATGAAGGCTGGAATTCCCAAATTAAGGATAGAAATCCCAAATGAAGGCTGGAAATCCCAAATAAAGGTTGGAAACCCCAAATTAAGGCCAGAATTCCCCAAATTAAGGTTGGAATTCCCAAAACAAGGCCGAAATTCCCAAAAGAAAGTTGGAATTCCCAAAAGGCTGGAAATCCCAAATTCAGGCTGGAATTCCCAAATTAAGGTTGGAATTCCCAAATTCAGGCTGGAATTCCCCAAATTAAGGTCAGAATTCCCCAAATTAAGGCTGGAATTCCCAAAAGGCTGGAAATCCCAATAGAAGGCTGGAATTCCCCAAATTAAGGCTGGAAATCCCAAATTAAGGCTGGAATTCCCAAAAGGCTGGAATTCCCAACAGAAGGCTGGAATTCCCAAAAGAAAGCTGGAATTCCCCAATTCAGGCTGGAAATCCCAAATTAAGGCTGGAATTCCCCAAATTAAGGCTGGAAATCCCAAATTAAGGCTGGAATTCCCCAAAACAAGGCCAGAATTCCCCAAATTAAGGCTGGAATTCCCAAAAGAAGGCTGGAATTCCCAAATTCAGGCTGGAATTCCCCAAATTAAGGCTGGAAATCCCAAATAAAGGCTGGAATTCCCCAAATGAAGGCCGGAATTCCCAAATTCAGGCTGGAATTCCCAAATTCAGGTTGGAATTCCCAAATCCGGGCTGGAATTCCCACCTGCAGGAACTCGACGGTCTTGTCGGGCAGTTTGGTGCCAATGTAGCGAAGGGTCTCCTTGTGGAATTTGCTCTGGAGGTGCTTCTGGATCTCCTCCTCCTCAAAACTCCGGAATTTGCACACGGAACAGGCAAACTGGATCCTGGAATTACAGTGGGAATGAGGAACTGGATCCTGGAATTACACTGGGAATGAGGAACAGGGGAACTGGATCCTGGAATTACACTGGGAATGAAGAACAGGGGAACTGGATCCAGGAATGCCCTGGGATCCGGGAATGCCCTGGGATCCGGGAATGCCCCGGGATCTGGGAATGCCCTGGGATCCAGGAATGCCCCAGGATTCAGGAATGCCCCGGGGATCCAGGAATGCCCTGGGATCCAGGAATGCCGGTTATTCCATCTTTAATTCCCTCCCTGGATCATTTCCCAGCCCTTCCCATCCACAGGAA